ATATAAATAATCAATGATTATAAATCAATCATTCCTAATAAAAGAGGCACAAAGGTCCTCAAAAAACCCAGCAAACTTGGTTTGGAAGAGAGTTCCRGTCCTTTATTGTTCTAGGAAAAAAATAAAAAAAATACTATTCGTTCTTGCGACCTGGTTGGATAAATGAATCTTTAGAGAAAGATCGAGTGAAACGCTGTTTAGGTAAAAAGTAACTCGGTATAAGTAATGCAATCAATTTTTGGATTGCTAAATAAAATTCACTTAATCTATGGACTTTACTGTCTGTCTTCTAATCGATATTCATCGATATTCATCAATCGGTTTTAATGAACCGTATTGCTTGCTTTCATCAATAGTACATGTACTGTCACAAAACTAAMGTCCCCTGAGACCAACATGAATAAATTTCTGAACCACATGTAAGAGAATATTATTAGATAAAGAGTTCAGAAGCGATGTGTGTGCGATTTTGTTCTTATATWTTTTTTTTGTTTTTAGTTATTGTTTGATAAAGGCTTCAACTTGGAAGGAAGGTGACCTCAATGTAAAATTGAATATAAATTAAATTATTTATTAAATTATTTATTAAGCATAAATTATTATTAGTTGGTACTTTACATTTTGGATAAAGATGTAGAAGAAAATTATATGCTATGTAAATTACATATAATAACATGGTTGTATCAAATATATATCCATATGAAGTAATGCATCAACCTACCTCATACCATTCTGAGACAAAGTATTTGGCATGCATTTTAGGATACAGTAAGGAAAATAAAATGAGATAAACCACTCCTAGGGCTAGTCGCTGGAGACCATACCAAATACTGCAAAAAACAAAGGTAGATTGCACAAACAATGAACAATGAAATCATCTATATAATAAAATRAATATTTCACTGTAAATAGCAAATAAATCAGATCAGATCAAATGTGAACGATTGACAGCTTAATATCAAATGACCAGGCAATTGTGTTGTGTCCTTAKCAAGGGGCTTCTCTTCACCTTTTTCTAAACGATTTCGCCATTTTACACTATAGTTTTGTGGCAGGAAGAAATAACTGGACGTGAGTCCAAATTGACGATTTCTCCTCTTCTCTTTGGTTTATATATCAAGTAAACACATTTCTCAGGTAAAGTGGACCCGTGATTTCAGTTGTCTCTGACTGCATAAACTAAACTCTGAATAGTACTCTTACCCTTCCCAACTATTTACATCTTTGTCTTCTAAAGTCCCATCTACCATTGCAAGATATTTCCTTATTGGGAACTGCATAGTTAAATAGTGACATTTGAATTTCTAAACTAAAACAGAGCATTTTCGTCATTTTATGCATCCATAAGCTTTCTAAAAGCAAAAGTCCAAGTTTTGTTTCCCAGAAAATGTGTCACCGTTTTGTGCATTACTTCATAAAGCTTAAGTTCAGTTTGCTTGCCACTTGAAAAGCATGTTACACATGTGAATTCATCAATACTGCACCCAATAGCATGAGAATTGGACACCAAGACATTTAACTTTGATTTTAGTTCTGTTTTCCACTCCTAAAGGAMTTTATTATTGAACTGTGTTAAAGTATGATTTTTATGCAATGAAATATCAACTACTTTTTGCAGCTACCTGTCATGTCAACTGCTACATTAATCCTTCTAAGATTTTTACAAAGGTTATAACTTTCCTATTAACATTAAGATATATTTCTATGAAGTTGCTTCAGATTTGATTTAGTTACTATAAACATTTAAATGTACTGTATGAAATTCAACTTTTTTAAAATCTTAATACTGATTATTCTTATAAAAGAACTAAACCGTTKATCTAACTACTTGGTCACATTTTGAATTCTTTTCTAAGATGGATATTTAATGTTTATATTTGATTCATTGTTTCTCCAAGTCAGCTGCTGACTACTTCATGCAAAGTCACTTATTTTCACTTTCATAAAACGCAAACTGCTTTATTGGTGCAGTATTGTTATGGTGAAAAAAGTATGCTATCTCCAATGACAATGAAGGGCACATGGCTCATGGTTATCAGTAGGCAGAGGGTTCTTAATACTTCTTTATGTATAACAAACAGCCTGCAGCAATAACAGTATAACCTRATGAGTGCCGGAGTGAAGACCAAACTTTTTACTTAGGTTTCCTACATTGTATGAATTCAAGATGCCAAAAATGTCTGAAAATCTTTATCTCTTCAGTAGTTGAGACAAAACTACAATAAAAGTACAATGTACAAGTGCCCTTCTGATGTTGTTGAGTTTAGGTATAATTGATAAATTGCAGGAACTGAACTCATGCTCAATTCCAGTTCATTTAATTCAATGCCAAAGGGTAAGGGTATTAAGGACACCAGGTAATTACATGTACAGATAAGTATTTTTAAGAATTCAATCGTATACTTCCTCCAAACAGATGCAAATAAGTAAACAATTATTTCAAGTAAATTGTCTTTCCGTACATTACAGTTTCCTTGATTCTGATATGCCATCCAGAATGATTTATTTTGAAAGGAAACCAAAGTGCTGCTTTTGGATTAAATCTAAAATTATAATATTATAATAAAAGTGCATAATTGTTGCTTTAATATTTATAGGGTGCCTCGTTACAGTGATGTTGTGTTACATTGTAGTTTATAATACATGCATCGGTACTTTTGGAGAACAATTCGTCTGCCGTCTTGAAAAGTGGGACTCGAATCACTTAATTATAACTTATATAAAATAAATTATATAAGAAATTAAAAGCTTCTCAGCTAATGTCAAGTTAATATTACAATATAATGATAGATAGTTACTGGGCTTCCTGTGTGTAAAATGTCAGAGGACCGTCGTGAATATTGGGCTTCAAATTGGTAGCGCCTGCGTTGCAGATGGTCTGCAGTCTCAGTTTTCATGGGGATGCCAAACTAACAATCCCCACTTACTTTCATTTTTGACATGTATTGTTTTATACACAGTCGGCCTCGTGGCCTGATCGCGATTTGAACGTCATGTTCACACATCCTTCTATAGCTTTCTTTCTGATCATCACCTTCTCTCTGACACTCAGTTTGGTTTTYGTAAATCTCGCTCTTGTGAACTTGCTCTTACTGACCTTATCGATCGCATTCTCAAGAATATTGATCAGCGCTTACTAAATGGGCTTTTGCTCATTGATCTTAAGAAAGCTTTCGATTTAGTTGACCATAGTGTCCTTCTTTTCAAGCTTGAAATGTATGGTTGTTCTCTTTCTTCTCTTGAATGGTTTTCATCTTATCTGTCTAACCGCTCTCAACGTACCAACTTTAAGGGTGAGTTATCAAATTCTCTTCCAGTATCTCTTGGTGTTCCACAAGGTAGTATCCTTGGCCCCCTTTTTCTTTTTGCTTTTCATTAACGACCTTCCACTTTATATTTCTGCTGTAGCAAATATTACTATGTTTGCTGATGACACTTCTGTTCTGGTTTCTGGCCCTTCGGTCTCTGATTTAAATGATCTTCTTAACTCTATTTCTACTGAGGTTTACTCGTGGGCTACGTTTAACCGCATGGCGCTTAATACCAAAAAAACAAAATCGCTGATGATAACTTCGCACCAGAAATTCTCTCATTTACCTGACCCTAATCTTAAAATTCTCATAAATGGCACAATAATTGACCAGGTTAGTCATGCTAAATTACTTGGTATTACTGTTGACTCTTTCTTAACCTGGGAACAACACATTGATAATATGTGTTCTCAAATTAGCAGTAGACTATGTCTACTTAGGCGTATCCAGCCATTTCTAACTTATGAATGTACCCTTCTTTTTTATAATTCTTGTATTCACTCTACCCTTCTGTACTGTTCTAATGTATGGGGCAATTGTTCTCTTTCTCTTCTTCTTCGTCTACTTCGGCTTCAAAAACGTGCAGCCAGACTAATTCTTGGAGCCGATTTTACCCATACATCCGTAAATCTTTTTACTAAACTTAAGTGGCTGCCCATCTCTCTTCTTATTAATCTCAGGAAACTTGTTTTTCTTTTTGTTATTGTTAACAAGTCCAATTCCCCATTGTGCCTTAAAAGCAACTTCAACTTCCTGTCTTCTCTTCGCTCCTCTGGTGTAACAACTAGAGCCTCTATTACTGACCTTCATGTAATAAAACCTCGTACGAACTTTGGAAAACGTACGTTCACTTTCAGTGCTGCTTATCTTTATAACTGTCTTGACTCTAATCNCTTTGGGTTAATCGTGTCACCCTCTTTAAATAAAGTTTATTGTATTGTATTGTATTGTATCGATATCTAGCTTCACTTTATAGATACTGTGACCTGGTCTGTGACCAAGAAAAGCAAGCCGATCAAGAATTTGATGGAAATCAACCCTAGAACACTGATCTCGCTTACAAATGCATATACCATTCGTAGTAGGCCCACACTAAAAATGTTCAGCATAATTTTCGGAACGTGCCGGTCCACAAACTCAAAGTTCTTACTAGTTCTTATGAGATATCAAATGATTCAAAATATTACTCAAAGTTTAACAATAGTGACAAAACTGCAAGGAATGTACAGTCTGTWTCTATTGTTTATATGACCTTTCAGCTCAAATTTATTGATATCTCACATTTTGCATATTTTGAATAATCTAGATGCTCTTAGAGCATAAAGTTGGGCTAGCTATTTTGGAAAACTGAGAAAGACAGGATATAGAGCCAAAGGAATAGGATCCTTTGTTGAAAATAAACAACTCAACTTAAAAGAAGTAAAAACTAGCTTAATATGATACCTTTACAGAAACACTTTAGATAAACGATGTAATTTGCGTTGAGCAAAAGATGAAAATTGTTGTGTTATTCAAAAAAAAAAAAAAAAGAAATAGAGGATATTACATGGGCGCGCGGAGATACATGTACGGATTTTATCTTCGAGTGTTGAAAAGATACTTCCACTTCTTACTTCCACTATATACAGAAACTTCAAATGTGATATTTTCACTAGTGAAAATAACATGTYATTTTCACTAGTGAAAATATCAATTTTACGAAATGGAGAAATATAGGTATTTCATAGATAATTATATGATAAAATGAAATACTTATAGCTCAATGGCAGCACCTGACCCATTGTCACAGCTACAGGAAACCCACGAAAGTGATCCATGATTGTCTAGTTGACTTAGAAACTACGARATGTGTTCTATAAGGCACAACATACGAATTCGGGTCTCACTTTTCAAGATGGTGGACGCATTGTTCTCCGAAAGTACAGATGCATATTGTGTAACTGTATTTTAGGTTAATACTGTTTGAATTTGATATCATTTATGCAAAAAATAGTAGTCCCAGAAGTTGTGTCTACCTGTGGCCCAGTGAGAACCCCTCCATAGAAGTAGCAATATCCAGTCATCTAGACAGAGAGGAGAATATAGTGACCCTACTACTTGAAATTAGAAATTGTCACATTTTTGAAGAGTGTTCAAAATTAATGACGAATTCAAAATAAAAATGAACATAGGCAATAGGATTATCATTTTTAGCAGGTATTGCACACCCTATCTTAGAGCTTGCATCCTTCAATTAATATACTTTCCTCTTGTTATGTCTTATGAATATTTATTGTGTGTGTATTTTTCACCCTGAGTTCATTGCACCTCTAACAAAAGAAAACCTTGGATCTGGGTTCCTATTTCTTTTAGGAGTCCCTGATAGGCATGGAGTTAATACTKTTCACTAGCAATGGTTCATATATAATAACTATAACTATCATTTCTACCTCAAGAATAGTAGGAGCTTGAAATATTCTTGTTGTTTTCATGTCTTCAGATATCTCCTGTAGATATGAAAAGCAATAAAATATTATGAGAGAGAAGAAGTAGAGATGAAGTACTGACTTCATTTAATGCAAAAAAGTTGTTATAATGCCACTGTGGGGAAAAATAGACTAATTGCCCTCTTGGGATTACCATTACATGAGACAGTGTTAAAATGATTCCAAGATTCCATCAACTTACATTGTTATTATAATTGTTGCCATCATAATAGTCCCAGGCAATACCTAAAAGTATTCAACATAACAATTAAAACTCCCATTAATGTTAGTACTTTTATAATGTTATATTTATTTTGTTTTGCAAACTTTTACAAATCTAACTAAAGGGATRCATTCAATGAATGTTTTTCTGTATTAGTTAGTTTATACTGCAACATGACCATTAATGCATAATTTACTGAAATATGGAGCAATATTTTAAATAACTATCTATCCCACATAGAATGCAACCCATCTGTTGCATCTTAATGCTTAAAAGCGAGTGCTGTTATCTTTGAATAGCTATTGTAATGGTCAGCGGTCGTTTGTGCTGAGCCGGTCAGCGGTCAGTGGGAAAYGTTTAGACTATGTTTTTGTGTATGTTTTTTGTAAGGAATGATYGCGAGTTTCGTGGAAGTATTCAAGGAAATAAAGTTGAGTTTAACRAGAATTTACACTGGTGGCAGTCTTTCGAACCTATGGCTTCCAGTACGAGTGATGGAGATCGTTTGAGGTGGCAACAGAATGAAGAAATTAGCCGCTGGATATTACGTGTCGAGCTATACGCCGCATCACAAGGCTGGGACGACAAGAAAACAGCTGGAAAGGCAGCTCTCAATCTGCCAAACGACAAATTAGATGTGCTCCGTTATCAGGCGATGATCGAACAAGCTGGAAGAAAATCAAAGAGATTTTAGTTCGCGAGTTTCAACCCTCGAAGGAAAATAGCGAAGAGTTATTCCTTAACAGAGTGAAAAAAGACGGTGAGTCATATCTTGTGTATTCTAAGCATTTAGAGCGACTTTACCGAGAATCCTTTGGTCTAGCATATGATGTTAAGTTAAACGAACAATCACTAGAGGCGACAAAGCGTCAATTTTTAAGAGGCATCAGACAGGAGATCGCCCAGCGGCTCAAACTGCATAATCCTGCTGATCCCCTCAACCTTCTTGTCATGAGAGCAAAAGAAATCGAGGAAATCTTAATCCGTCCGAACAGTGTACGTAGTGTTAATTGTGACACTAGAGTTTCATTTGAAGAACTTCAAAACGAGGTCAAAGARCTAAAGGATATGGTAGCCGCCCTGGCTACAACACCCAGCCCAAATGAAAACACGCCATCGCAGGTAGACGCCACCGCATCCCCTCGTCATCAAATAGCTGCTAACCGCCGAGGTCGGGGGGGTCCGTGACCACGTCAAACAGGCTGTTTTACCTGTGGAAAAGATGGTCATGTTGCCCGGAATTGCCCTGATGGTCCTAAGTCATCCAAGAGTATTGAATGTCATAATTGCGGAGGGCGCAGTCACTTGGCCAGACAGTGCTCATCGCCACCTTTAAACTAAATAGTGTTGGCGTGGAGGGTTTATGCGGCCCCGACCCCGCATAAACAAACATTGCACGTGGGAGGTCATATTGGCAAAACACCGTGCACGTGGCTCGTCGACACTGGCGCCAATGTCACTTGCGTCAGTGCACAGCTTCCAGGAGTGAACAAACTGGCAGTGGAATCAACAGGATCAAAACCGTTAGCGACAAATGGCTTGCATCTTAATGTGGTCGGAGAGACAACAGCTTCTATTAAATTTCGGACATATTGTGCACCCCCCAGTAAGGATTCTAGTTGTCGACAAACTAAATTTTCCCGCAATTCTCAGTCTAGACGTCCTTCAATGTTATGATAACATGGCCGTCGACTGGAAAAAACAATTACTTCAGCTAGGGGGTCACCAAGTTTCCCTCGAAAATAGGTTTTTGGGGTCACCAAGACAACCCACAGAGGTGTGTTTAGTGTCAGACACTGTGATTCCTCCCTGCTCACAGTRTTTCATCAATGCAGCCTCTAAGGACTTTGGAGCGTTACCACAGGACACCTTATTTACTCCCTACCAGGAGAAGATGGCCAGACAAGATGTTCTGTTGGGATCAGGCATGGTGGTGAGAGACTCAGGAAATAGGATTCCTGTGCTCGTCATGAACAACAGCGAGTCMCCGGCTAAGCTGTATGGTGGAACATCAATCGGTCAACTCTSCACAGTGTTGGTTGAAGAGAAGGACGAAAATACGTGGGCACCGAAAACTACCCTGGGACGTGGGCCAGTGAATGTAAATCTAAATGATAGTTGCCTATCTCATCAGGAAAAGAAAAGGTTCAGAGATTGCTTAGTGACTTTCGTGATGTATTCGCGAACAGCGAGTTTKAAGTGGGACAAACGGATAAAGTACAGTTCAAGATYAACACGGGAGAGCAGCCCCCGGTAGCAGTGAAGTTGCGTCGCACCCCATTTAGTCTTCGAAACGAAGTGGAAAGTCAGATTCGAGCAATGGAAGAGAGGGGTGTTATTCGTAAATCAATGTCACCTTGGTCTTCTCCGATTCTTCTAGTTCCAAAGAARGATGGGTCGTACCGTTTTTGTGCTGACTTCAGAGCCCTAAATGATGTCACCGAGACAGAAATTTTTCCTCTACCATCCATCAGAGAGTGTTTAGATTCCTTAGGAGGATCAGCGATGTTTAGCATATTAGATTTACACAGTGGGTATTGGCAGATCCAAATAGACCCCAAGGACAGGGAGAAAACAGCTTTCACAACAGAGTCAGGTCATTGGGAGTTCATGGTTATGCCCTTCGGAGTCAAGAATGCACCCGCTGTTTTCTCACGGCTCATGTCAGACGTCATGAGAGGATTATCATGGAACGGCATTGCAATTTATCTTGATGACATCATTATCGGAGGAGCAAGTTTC